TGCAGCATTTGTTTGTAGTGTGTTTCTGTTGCAATTCTTTTTATTATTATTATTATTTATTTATTTTTTTTTTTTTTTAAGTTTGTAGCGTGTTTCACCTATATGTTTCGTCATTTGCTACGCGTTTGCACCTGTCAACCACGGCATTATTCAGAACCAACAACAATGTCTTCACTAACAATTTGGTCATTTGAGATGCCTGGGATTTCCTCGCACAGTTTATTTATATTTAGATTCACTTGCAATCATGTTGAATGGGCTCCATGGATCAAATTGAAGTGCAGCAGAGTCTTAGTTGTTGCAAAAGAAGTCTTTCTGTTTCTAAAAACAAAGTTCACACGCAAATGGAAAGCCTTTCACAATTATCTTTTGTTTGTATACCTGCTTCCTGAAACAATCTCCGACTTCGTCAGTAAATCATTGTGAACTCAGTCAAGTGTTTATCATTTTAGAGGCATGTGCACAGGAAGTACTAGAGATATAATATGCTCCTTTTCCTGGTGTTTATCCAGGATCTCAACCAGGCTCCAGTTCCTTTTTTTTCCCCCTGACTATGCTGTGATCCCTCCTGGCTGCCACTCCTGCTCCAGCTTACCCTCACAGCAGGTTTTAATTTGTTGTCTTTTGGTGGTTCAGTTTACATTACATGCTCCCCAATCCAGTGGACAGCCTTTGTTTTCTTTTTTGCACTGGCAATAAGTTTTCTCTGGTTTGCCTTTCCTCACAGCTGCTGACTCATTTCCCATTCTGGTGTTCTGTAGTATGAGGGGTAATTGGAGGAAAGATGGAAAACGTTTAATTTTGGGTGTGTGCATGGACGTGTCTGTGCGTTAAAACATAACAGAGTCGGCACAGGCTATTAAGACTGTAGAACATGACATATAAAAAAGGCTGAAACCATCAGCAAGTAACTTATTAAAAGCCTCGTGTAAAGGTTTCGTTTAGAATGTAAATGATGCTGTTCGGTATGATCAGTGGTTCCAATGGAAACAGTTGGCTTTTAAATATGGTGTTTGTTTTCTCTGCAGAAAAAGACATATTGGGTGGTTTTAATTTGATCCAGACTGTGCATGTTCTGAACTGGAGATTGGAAAATTTGGCTAGAGTGATCAGAGGGGACACTGACCTTTGTTTAAGGACATTTTTTGCTGGAAAAAGATAGTGAACTTGTGATTGATTTTTCTGTCTTTCTTACCAACAAGGATGTGATTGTGTGATCAGGTTTCAACAAAGAACTTTTTTTTTTCTTTTTCAAAAAGAAGTTTTAGGATTTTATGGCAGCAGGAAAGCCAGAGCTAACTAATCAAGAGAAGATGAGGGGTGAAAGTCAAGATGCTACAAGCTAACACTAATGACTAGATGCACTGGTGTTATCAGCATTATAATCTTTTACATTTTCAGCTCTTAATTACAAAGTCTAAACTAAATCTTATATTTCTGCCTGATCTAATTCTTAGGATGTTAATGTGAAAATTTACAACTTTTGTCATCAGAGTTGCCTTTAAGTTTCGAAGGTCAACGTAAATAACTTAAATACAGTGAAAATCAGATGAAACAAATTTGTTCTGCTCTTTGTCTGTTGCTTTTAAACCAATTAAAAATCAATGCTATAAATTTGCTTGTGAAATCTCAGCTAAACATGGAATCCAACAAATGGAATCAGCCTACATTACAGACTGGGGGCTGGTGTGTACGTTTTAATCTTTTGAAATAAGTGCAAAAATCATCCAGCACATGCAGTGTTGTAAACGAACATTTATGTCTTCAAGCCTGTGTCTACTATTCAGTATAAAATTGTTACAGTGACTTTCTTTGCCAATTAAAATATAGCGCTTGGTGAGTTATTCTGGAAATTTACTGTCTGCACTGCTTTGGGCTGCATCCAATGTCTACATAGTAGGGAGACTGAAGGACGATTGTTTTTTGTTCGTTAATTTCTTAACTGCTGCAGCCTTTTTTCCCACAGTAAAGTAGTTTTTAAGTTTGTGGCAGATTCCTCAGCTGTTTTTATTCCATCATCATAATCTAATAATGACATCCTAAAAATGATTTGTATTTAAGTCTATCTTAGATATTCAAATTTCTTTTATCTGAGGAATTTAACAATGACAACTCAAAAAACAGAAGAAATTTGTGAAGAGGCAAAAACGTTTTTTTGTAGAACATATTAGAAAGTTTATTTGCATTAGCAAGGAAAAAAAGACACGAGTTACATTGACTGATTAATTAAATGTTGATTTTTGAATGTTTTTTTTTTTTTTTTTTTAAATCAAAGCAAAGAACAAGAACATTGTTAGAAGATCCCACTAGTTCAGATTTTTTTGTACAAAGCCAGCAGGTATTATTGGGGCCCTCCGTTCATTTCAATTCAGCGCTGTGCATCTTCTCAATGAATCCAAACCAGTGTCACCTTTGAAACACGTGAAAAAGTCCATTAAGACAGAACAGATTACGAACCGGTTCAGAAAAGATCCCTGGGCTCTGCTCCTCGGGGTGTCAGTCGTCAACCAGATGCTGAAGATAATTAGCGGTTTATTCTACAATGTAATGTTTTTGTGTGCACATTTGGGTGTTGCTAATCTAATCCAAACAAATGTAACCTGCATGTATTTGAAAACTAAATCTGCGTTATGGAAATCTGATCTCTTTGTTAGGAAACATTTCTAGTTTACAGTTGCGTTCTCTGAGCAAATCTATTGCGTAACATCTTAAGAACTAAAACATAAGCAGGTTAAGTCAGTATGAACATTTCTATACTTTATCTACTTTCAGATCATTTAGATTTTAAAATTAACTCTAAAATTCAAAAGATTAAGCTGCTCCGTTTGTTTTTAAGTCGTCTGTTTACTGAGAACTGTCATTCTCCTGTACAAATATTGCAGTCAAATTATCAACATGCTTGCGATGTTTTTGTGACAGAATCATCATGACTTCACCCAGATAAGTAATAGCAATGATCTAAACAGAAAGGTTTTGTTGACGGTCCTTTGTTGGTTCATCCTTATAATGAGGCATAAGCTCCTCATGGAGTCTGCTAAGCTAATCTACTTTCTCATCAACAGTTCACAGGCTCTGTTCAGGATTTAATTAACTCCTGTCTTGTTTCTAATAAAAAAAATGTTTTTTACACTCCAAAGTTCAACTGCAACATGCTGAATGGGTTTCTGTTTTTTTTGTTGTGTTTTTTTGTGGCATTTTTGGTCATTAGATAATTCCTCTATAATTTATTGAACAGAAGTGTGACGCTATTTTTAATTGGCACAAATTAAACTAAATTATTTTTTTTTTTAGAAATTCTAATCTGGTGGTTTTATACCTTTTCTTTATTTATTATAATCAACAATGGAAATAAAAAAAACACGTTATTTTCTATAGGTAAAGTAGATTATAAGGACAATAAGGTTTAACCGTCAATACTTATGCGCTTCAACTTGCTTGCTCTACTGGATCACATTGTTTATTCCTACATTCATTTTATAGTTATTTCTAGCTATCGATGAATAACTTGGATAGTTCCAAACCATTATTGTATAATGGTGTATATTTGTTGTCCACATTAATTTTTGTATTTTATTTCATACATTAGTAGCTAAATTTGCTTAATCCATCATCAGAAATCAGGTCTTTTGGCAGTGTATCCAAACTAACAGATGTTTGCAAGAAGCATCTCAAACAAGGATAATTTTTAAATGACTTATAGCAACTAATTTGATTAGTAATATGCTCAAATTAAACACAAGCTGACATTTTAAAGCATTGCTTTCCTAAAATAACTCAAATCCTCCATGACGAGCATCTTCAGTACTTAGTACAATCCCTTTGCTTTCATGACCTGTTGCAAACATGATTAATCGGTCAGATGCCAGCATCCCGCCTGAGTGCTGCATGTGTGTTTTTCAAATCCTACCAGAGATTTTGGATGACTGTGATGGCCACTCTAGTTGGTTCCAGGACATCTTCTGAAACCAGGCCTTTGTGAACCTGGAAACATGCTTGTGATTGTTCTTTTGTTTGAAGGCCATTTCGCAATTGTTTGCGTTTTCATTGTGGTCTGAAGTCCAGGAAGGATTAGATAAATTATTTAGCTCCTTTCCTGTTGGGTTTCTCAGGAATGAATCTTAAACAGCAACAGGATTATATGTGTAAGCTATGGCTTCTGTAGCACTCTGAAAAATCAACAATGCCAAATATGTTTATGTTAAAGACTGTGTTTTTCCCTTTGCAAACCCCGTGGCCCTCCAAGGGCATAGAACATGCGCAGAAACAGTGTGATCCTGCAGGATTGGGGCTGTGATGAGAGCATACTTAGCAGACAGACTTCTGAGACTTTGAATGCAGGAACAGCTTGGTCTTATGTCAATCATTGTGACTTGGATAAATGTTTTGTTTATAATAAACAATCTTTAGGAATCTAATTATCATCAAAATGTATATTTTTTCTTTTACATATATCCAGTTTATTTTCACTGAGAGGAATATTTGTCATATATCTTTGCTTGATTACCTCTCCACAGCTGTGTCCCACTTTCCGCAGTACCTCATGATCATCACTACTGCATGTCTGTTCTTTGTAATTGCAACCAGAAAAGTCTTTCTGAGATGCATCCAGCGCTTTGAGAAACCCGCCTGCAAATTTCACAACTCCTGACATCTCTGCAGCATATCGTTAGGGAATTCTTTTCATGCTTTAGTGTCATTACATCTGCCAAATATGTGAAGCGGCGGTCTCAACAGACAGATGAATAAAAATTAGGCATCTATATATATATATATAAAAAAAAAAAGAGAGGGGATTTCAGTGTTGGTGATCCAAAATCATTATCCATCTATCAGCATTAAAGCAAAGTAGCTCATTTTTCTATAAGAGCTTAAATTGTGAGTGTAATCACACCATTCTTAAGAAAAGCAAAAAACAACAACAAAAAAAAACAATGCATCCTCCTTGCTTCACTGAAAAAGGAATGCTTAAAAATTGAAGCCATCCAAATAACCTATTTTAATATTTTGCCCAGGTCTTCAGCACCTTCTCCAATGAGGATTACGATCGGCGCAATGATGATGTGGACCCTATTGCAGCATCTGCAGAATATGAGCTGGAAAAGAGAGTGGAAAAAATGGACGTGTTTCCTGTGGAAATTCAAAAGGGTGAGTCACAAAAGGAAGTTTTTAGTGTATTAAGCAAGTTAATTCAAGAGGAACGTGTAAGGAAAGTGACATTCAGATGGTTCTCCAACCTTCCACCTATGGCAACGTCACTCACCGCAGAGGAGAGCAGCTACGGTAGAACATGGATTTACAAGTATTTTAAAAACAAGACCGTACAATTAATAGAGTTTAAGCAGACCTTAGCATCTGGTACCAACTGTTTGGATAACATTACTAAAACACCAGTAACTTTGAACCTCAATTAAAGCCTCCCAGTATTTTTTAAATGTCCCATAACGGAGAGGTTGAAAAGCCAAAAGGAAACAATAAGCTACGTCAGTGATTTGCAGCATGAATTAACCACAAACGTATCTCCACATGACAGGAAAAAATGTTTTCCTTTTTATTAGCTTCTTATCTCTCTTTTCTGTGACTCTGTTTTAAACACAAACATCCATCATTAAGTCTTCATCCCTCCATATAATTTATGTAATTTATTTATGTAATTTTTAGCATGCTTTACTCACCAAGAGTTAAAACATCAGGTTTATTTTTACCTTAAGCCAAATGTTAGGCATTTTCAATTTTTAATAAAACTGTGTAATTCAGCTTATTTGTCCGTTCTTCCTGTCTGTCCTTTTACATCAATATTTTTGTTTGCCAGCAGGAGACAATGGGCTTGGGATCAGTATCATAGGAATGGGAGTGGGAGCTGACCAGGGTTTGGAGAAACTCGGTATTTTTGTGAAAACTGTAACTGAGAATGGAGCAACTGAGAAAGATGGACGGTAAGTCAATTCTGCGGTAGTTAGACCCGTCACAATACGTTCTTCCCTTTTTTTTTTTCTATTATCTGAATTATAACACGGTGAAAAACGTTTCCATGTTTAACGTAAGAGACATGGAAAAGAAACAATCCCATTATTAGAAGCTGTCTCAAAAGAAAGTAAAAGCGACGTGCTTTAAAGTCCTCCTCACAGATTTAACTTCCTCTTGCTGTAGGATACAGGTGAATGACCAGATAGTAGAGGTGGATGGGACCAGCCTGGTGGGAGTCACCCAGCTGTTTGCTGCAACTGTCCTGAAGAACACCAAAGGCACAGTGAGGTCAGTTTAACTCCTCTGCCCTCAGAACAACCTCAATCTAAATATCCAGCTGGCTGCCAAACTGTGTTGCTGTTATCCCACTATAATTAAATAAGCTGGTTGAGAAACTTTTCTTTCGTGAGAGTTTAGACGGGAGGCCAAGGTTCAGTTGTATTATGGTAATGATTTATAGGCAAATTTAGCTCCCCTGCATTACAAAGTGAGTTCAAAAACACATTTCTAGTTTGCATACTTTAGTGTCAAAGACACAAAAAGTTGTGTAGTAGGGTATCCAAAGCAACATGTACAATACTACATTGTATAGTATGCTTGTTCCTATAAAAAAAAAAACAAAAAAAAAAACAGGTTTCTGATTGGTCGAGAGAAGCCGGGAACTCAGAGCGAGGTGGCCCGCCTCATTAGTGAGACACTGGAGCAGGAGAGGAACCAGCAGCAACACCTGGATGACCCTTACGACCACTCTACAGAGGAGGTAAGTCAGCTTCACAGTGACCCTTAAGCTGATCGTTTAGTGCTTTGTATGAAAAAACCCCCAAAATGTTTACAACAGTAAATCCTGTAATCATAATAATGCAGTTATGACATTTGCGCAGCATTAGCCATTTTACCGCTACCACACCAATCCCCCCCTGGATCATCCAGGAAATTAGCAGCTGCCTATGAGTAAGCCATGTGTCACAACTCTGCTGTTGGAAAATGTTCATTCAGCTGCCATCTGTCCATCAGAGTTGGGAAATGTTTGTTTTCTGAAGTTCAAGCCACCACAGGAGCCTAATTTTGCAACATTGAGACTATCCAGAGATTAAATGGGCTTTTTTAGAGCAGAGAAAGACAAACTTACAAAGGTGTGTGGCTGTGCAAAGAGTGTGGTCATAGTCTTATCTATTGAGTGGGTTGCTCATGTTTGCCTTTATTGCCATGAACATGCTTAGCCAAGCCCCTGAAGTGACTCCTGTGGACTAATCCAATGTTGTTTCCTCCAGGCAAGGGGTAAACCCTGGGAGTATTGCTGTACCAATGTTCAATGTGTATGAGATCATCAAGGTGTGTTTGAGCTCACAGTGAGCGATATCTTTCAGGAGGAGAGGTATGAGGACGAGGACGACGACGTCATAGAAGAAAGAATCCTTGGGTCCAATTTCTCTCCAGGGAGAAACGTGGAGGTGTTGGAGCTGCCGGACTCAGAGGCCTTGTTCATGCCGACGGACATGAACAGCTCTCAGATGGCCTTCAAGTTCAAAGAGGTACACCAAATCTCTTCTCTGTTCATAAATGTTTAAACTTCTTCTTGCTGATACAGTATCTGATTTATTAGATGGAACAAACTATCTAATTTTAATCATATCCAATAGCTGCAACTGAAGCACAGCGTTGCTACAGATGAAATACATCAACTGAAGGAAAAGGTAGGATGAGAAAAAAAAATTACATATCTTGTTTAAAATTATACACATGACAAATATTAGAAAAACTGCAATCCCATGCAAAAGTAGTCACACTCTGAAACATTGTAAATTCTGTGGCAACCACAAACTTCAGGATACGTCATTCGGGTTTTATGTGATGGACCAGCACAAAGAAGAACATAGTTGTGAAGTGGAAGGACAACGGTTCATGATTTCTAACGTTTCCTTGAAAAATAAGTCCAGGATTCATCAATAAGTCAATACTTTGTAGAAGCACATTTTGCTGCAATTAAAGCTGCATATTTTTGATATTGTGCTCCTCCTAGCTTTACTTATACCACTGTTATTGTCAGTTTTGCAAAATAGTTCATTGTCAATGAGATTTTATGAAGAGTACCTGTGAACATTGGTTTTCAAGTCTTACTACAGATTTTCATTTGTTAGGATAAACTTTGTCTGGACTATTGTAACATGTTTATTTGAAGCCATTTCACTGTTGCTCCAGCTGTATGTTTAGTTTCTTTGTCCTGCTGAAGCTCTGCTTTATTCTCAAGTCTGTAGCAGGCTCTAGCAGATTATGTGGGATTTCCCCGTGTTACATCCGTCTTGCAATCAAGTCTGACTGGTAAACGGTAGCATGATACTTCCACACTCTTATTTCATTGTGAGGATGGTGTGGTCAGGGAGATATGCGGTGTAACCTTCCATCACAAATAGTTTAACTTTGGTCACTTTTGGCCAGACGACCTTTTTCCAATGTTTGTTCTTCTGCATGACTTGTGGAAAAATGCTCACAGGTTTTCTTATGATTTTTTTCTGTTGACTGATTCTTCGTGGATCTCTGCAGCTCCTCCAGCGTTACCATGGACCTCTGAGCTACTTCTCTGGTTATTCCTTATTAGGAATAACCAGAGAAGTATTTATATTTCATGCAACTTCATTACTTTGCGTCAATCCATCACATAAAATCCAAGTAAAATAAATCAAAGTTTTTGGTTGTAAAATGACTAAATGTATCCAGGTTCAAGTAATATGAATATATTTACCAGGTGGTGAATGTAATGGCTGTAGACAGTAATTAGACTGTGCATGTATATAGAACAGTCTTTGTATTTTTAAATAATTGTTTCACCTATAATTGAATTGTTTCCCCTATGTTAGTATTTAGCTTTAAATTAAAATGCACAGTTGGCGCCACAGCTAGAAGAAAACCAACATTTCTGTGAACGTGTGGTACAAGATTGTGTTTTTGTTGCAGCTAAGCAAATCAGAGGAGGACAAATCTTTGTGGGAAGAAAGGCAATCTGCACTGGAACAAAAAATTGAGGAGAGCAACGACAAAATCCTAAAGCTGGAGAATTACTGGCTGGAAGCCCAGGCTGTGTGCAAGAGTGTGAATGAACAATTAGCCGAGAATCAGGCTCAGTATGAGGCCCTGGACAAGAAGTACAACAAGGCCAAGAAACTGATCAAAGACTACCAACAAAAGTGAGTTTAATTTCTTTTTTCAGCTAAGATTGTGATTTTTTTAAAGTGTTTTTAGTAACAATCAGCTGAAAGCATTATGTCATTACCAAAAAAAAAAAAGCAAAATTTTTCATATCCCCAACAGAGAGATAGATTTTGTGAAGAAAGAGGAGGAGCTGAAAAAGACTCTGGACGAAAAAGACAAATGGTACAAGGAGCAGCTGGAGAGCCTGCAGAACAGGGTAAGAATTCGGGTCAGACAGTGAAAGCTTCTACACCTGTTAACCTGCTGCTGTCACTGAAATAAACATGGCCATGACGTTTTCTGTCCACAGATTGCTGCCCTGGAGTCCAGAGGGGCTTCAGCTGTGGAGAGTCAGAGCGGTCTGGACTCTGAGGACAGACTCAGCAGCCAAGACTCGGTCAACAACTCACAATCCATTGACTCTCTCTTAGGTATATAGTGCACGCTATGGTTAAAATCCCAAAAAAACATAAATCTGTGAAGGTGAACCCCCTTCTTTAGCAAGCACCGCTTATTTTTCTGTTGAAGATCAAGACTGGACCGAAGTGGTCCCTGAAACTACGCGCCTGGACACCAGCGCTCAGAAGGCCAAGTGCCGGTTGGCTCAGATGAGCCGGCGCCAGGCTCCAACTCGAAGCAAACTAAAGGAAGGCCTGGCTGAACCCGCTCATCATTCTCAGGTCTGAAACTCTGAAGCCCCTCTGTTCTGCTTTAGTGTATGGTGCAGCATGCTCACTATGGAGGTAGGGTTATGTGTCATAACTGGCAGGATGGACTGCAGATTTGATCAACTGTTGTGATATTTGAGTTTGTTATCATTCTCTAAATGTACAGACGTGTTCTGAAAGACAGTAGAATCCTTTCCTAACTCAGTTTGAAGACGATAGCATAACGTTGAAACACAGCTAACCAGAGGTTTCTTCTGCATAAATAGCTTTTATTCTCCCTTCCTTGCATTGTCCTTGTAAATAATTAACTCGGTCCCTGCAGGAAACTGAAGAAGAGGACGAGCAGGAGGAGCAGGAATCTGCCGGGAGGCGGCAGTCCACCCAGGAAAGCCCAGCGCTCCCTGTCGACATCTGCCACCCTGGAAATGGACAGAAAGACGATCCGGGCGAGACCGGAGATACTTCCAAAAGCAAATTGGAGATGTCCAGCAGTCCATCTTTGTCCCCGTCACTGGGGGACAGTGCTGAACGCTGTAGCAATCCTTCATTGTCTTCTCCAAAACACACGTCCTCACCACACTCTCCTCCGGGTTTCATGCGCAACGTGAAGAAGAGAGAGTCCAAAGGCAAAGGGAAAGAACTCAAAGGTACGCAGGAACCTGATTTGATGTCTGCAACAGCAAAGGCTTTTTCTTCTCGCTAATCTCTGCTTTGTTACAGAGGATTTGAGTGAGTCTTCTACAGCAGTAAAACCTAAAAGGCGATTTCCAGATTTTGGGCAAGTATCCGAATTATTCACTGATCATTTGCAGCCAAGATCTCACCTTCTTAAAAAAAAATTAAACACATATCCCTAATGATCAAAACAGAGGCCTTCGGAAGTCAGGCGGCAAAGGGAAAAAAGACAAAGAGAAAGAGGCCCTGAGAGCTTCTTTGGACAGCAGGTATTACTCTGCTAATATTCTATATTTTCTTAATGTTAAGATGTTTTCTAATTTACGCCTAGCATCCAAATTCTTTCAAATTGATAAAATGTCAATGAAAAGTCAACTTCTACTTGTTTCAGCAATTCTGTTCCAAAAGTGAAAGTAATGTATTATTTAGAATAAGCACAAACACATTTCTGTTGATTTAGAAGGCCTAAGTTAGTAAAAACCTTCAATGTTTTTCATCAAATTAAAATATTAGATAAGAGTAATAAAACAGTATTTTAAGAAATGCTACATTCTAGTCTTTGAGATGCACAATATGCAATATCAGACGCCAAGTCCATTCAAGAGTTTGCAGGAGAGGTTCTGAAGTTTCCGGTCCTGGTCCTGCTCTCGGTTCTGTGTTCTATCAAGTCCAAGTTTGTTGGAGATGCTGAGTTCATCTCCTACCTGGTTATTCTCCCAGAGGCTGAAAAACGGGGCTTCCTTAATGCCTCAACAACAGTCTGATCATCTTTATGCATTCACTGCATTGATAGATGGATTCATGCAAAAAAAAAAAGCACACTTTCAGTAGGCAAAACCTTTTATTAATTTTGCTATTAGTTTCAAACATAAACACTTGAAGTGTATCACTCTGTTGCAATTTCTACATTTTCAGTGATAACCTTGGTACAAACTTGAGGGTGATATATTTTAGGCTTGTTGCCATAGCAGCTGAATAGCTGAGGCTTTGAAGCAGAGAAATATTGTAGCTTTTGTCTTTTTTGATGTCGGAGTAGCAGAACTCTGCATCTCACTACTGATCTGATGTCCAGGGGATCTGCAGAGCTACTAGAGGAATCTGGAGGGAACCTGTCTCCTGCAGAGTCCATGACCTCTGTCCCCACTTGTATGCCTTTCTCCTGGTTTGGAGACAAAGACAGAGACAGAGAGCCGTCCTCGTCCAACAGCAGCCTGCCATACGCTGCAAACGAAACCAGCAGTGAGCAAAGCCAGGATCATAAAACTAAGGTAGACAACTGTTTTGTGAATTTATTTAGATACATTTTATTTAAATTGTCTTTAATGTCTCGTCCTGTCACTCAGTGTCTAAATATTGTGTGTAAAACTATTCCAAATAGCCAGGATGAACTTCCTTCTTGACTTCCTTAGGCAAAATGTTTGGATCTGTAGAGAATGTGGTAACTCTGTTCTGGTTGGGTCCTGTGGTGTTTTTCCATCACGTGGTACTCTGCAGCTCCTCATCAATAGTTAGGCATAACATTTTGTGTATTCGGTAATTTAGATGGTTTTATTTGGTTACTGCGGGGAAAGTGGTTACAGCATCCAGCTGTTCGTATTAGAAATATTACAGCCTGAATCTGCAGTGATGCTGCTAATCTACCGAGTGGAAAGCCTGACTGTCACCCAGGCTTTAGTGGGCTGCTGTTCCCACAATTCCCTTTTAATGAGTTCAAGACACGAGCTGAAGCTTTGGCTTCACTTTTCGAAGAAATGACTGATTTTGTGGCTGTTTTCTTACTTTACTGCTTTGCTTTCTGACAAGTCTCCATTGACCATGTTTCTTTAAACAGACAAACCTCTCCTGGTCCTCTTTATTCAGTCGCTCTTTAGATTTGGTACAGTATACACGTTTTATTATTCCTTTGACTCTAGATCACAGTCAGTAGTGTATTACTAACCGTTCCAGTCCTACATCCCTGGAATAATTCACTACTTGTTTTGTAGTGGGTATGTGGTAAAGTTTTAACTTCTAATTTTACCCGTTTTTTTCCCCTTTTACATTTACCTTAAGAAAGAATTTAGGCTGGTTGGAGAACAAACAACCCATGGGTAATTTTCTAGACTTTATGGCTAATTGGAAAATGCTCTTAAGAGTTTTATGTGTAAATAAATATAAAGCGTTTGACTTCTGCCTAACTTGCTGTGTGTCATTTGAGTTTATGCATTTATTATTTTAATGAGTCACTTTGATTAAATCAAACAGCCTGCCAGTTTGGATGTTGTTTTCTTTCCTCCAAGCTCAGCAGCAGTCTCCTTGTAAAAGTATTCACACCCTTTAATCTTTTTCTTTCTTCATGTTGGAGTCATAAACTTGGACTATTTTTTTGAGGCTACATACACACTGTGCTGAAAATCGAACACACTTCACACTGACCACGCCTTTACCCACAGTGAAACATGGTGGTGGCAGTAATATACTGTGGGCAAGCTGCAGGACAGCTGGTTGGAGTTTGTGATGACGGATGGAGATTAATACAAGGCAGTGTTTGGGTGAAAGTTCACCTTCAAGCAGGACCAGCAGCCCAAACACAGTGCCAGTAGAATAGTTTAGAGCAAAGTATGTTCCTACGTTAGAATGTCCTAGTCAAAGTTCAATCCTAAATCTTTAGACTTAATAATTATGCTCTACAACAGATCTCTCCACTTGATCTATATAACAAATAGTAGGCTAACCATTTAGTCTCTAGATGAAAGAGGTCCCAAAAGACTTGAAGCTGTCCACACATTTTGGGTTAAAATTTGAAAAAAAAAAAAAAAAAAAAAAAATTGAGAGCCATATATATTACTTTGCTATTTTACAATAACGGGCTGTTCTGTTAGCTTCTCAAATAAAATGCTAATGAAATGCATAAACGATTGTGGTTGCAACAGAGTAAAATGTGGAGACATTAAAGGGGTGTGAATACTTCTGCAAGGCTCCATGTAACAAGTCAAACGTATAAACATTTATGAAATGCCTTCAGAGAAAACATTACCTCATACCTGGAGTTAGTGTTTGTTTTTGTTGTGTTTTGTTTTGTTTTTTTGGTGGGGGCGGGGACAGTTTCTCAGTAGAAATGGCCTCCTTGTAGTTTAGCGTGTCATCATGTAGTTTGGGTGGTGGATTGTTTGTAGTTTGTAGGATCTGACCTTTCTTCCCCTCACATGTTTAAGGTCACAGTCATGACTCTGCTGTGTAATCAGTATTAACTACTCCCACTGTAATTACTTTTAATCCCCATGAAAACATCCCTTCCCTCAGCTGTCGTCCTGAACAGAAACTGGTGTTTTGGCTGATGTTGCTTTAGTAAATGCGTTCCTTCTTTCCCATTGTTCCAGAGTTTTTCAGTCATAGATGATTCTAGCCCTGCCAGCCCCAGTTCAGACATCTCTGGGTTTGTCGCTGAACCCAATCTGTCTGGGCGCTCACACACTTTAATCTTCTCTTCCAGCGAGGTGAGTGCTCTCCTTGTTGTTGTGGTCACAAAAGCTGTGTGGGGACGCCCTGATGCAACTGAAAGGGGACATTCTCAAGCATGCCCTTTGAGCCTCGCCCCCTTTCATAGCACAGATTAAACCGTGAATGGACAGAGACAATATGAGCGCTGCATGTCTGTGTGTTAAAGCCGGTTTGTTTTGTGTTGCCGCAAGTCACGTGGCTTAGCTTTTTCTTAAGTTGGCTATGATTTGGATGGTGCATACTTATGCTTTATCGTGGCTGTGTCCTGTTTTTTCCTGTTTGCTTAGTGATGTTTCTTTCACCTTCTAATCTGATACAGTTCGTCTCTGCAGCTCAGTGTGAAACCGTCTGTACACGCTGCAGAGTTTGGGGGGTGTTTTTCTAGGAATGCACGCTTGTTTTTCTGTGTACTAGCTTGGGGAATGTTTATCAGATTTTACATGTTGTAGTTAACTCGTTTTTAGAGATTTTAGGAAAGTTAAAATTTGCTTTGCAGCATTTCTGACCCTTCAGTAGAAAGGTAAAGATTTTACTCTCCTTTCTCAACATACTTAAAGTCCCGTTGAAACAGCTATCACATTGCTTGCATTGACCTGTTGTTAATATTGATCAGCACTCTCACAGAAATAGTTATAGTGCCATATCATGTGGCTGCTGAACCAAGTTGGGGGGGGGGAAATCAGTAGGGGTGCACCGATTTGAATCTTAAATCGGTGATGTCTAAGCACTGATGTCATCTACTACAGCAAAGGTCTAAAAATCAAGCACAGTCTTTTTTCCTCTGCAGTGAGATAGATTTGACTGGTAGACTGGCCCACCAGGTCATTTCTACACGTTTGCAGTTAAAAACAATTTTAAAAATCGGGGATCGGCCAAAAAAATCTGCAATCGATGCACTCCTATAAATCAGTTCCAAGTTTTGGCCAGAAATTTAAATAAACTCAAAGTCACGTTGAAAAATACGTTGATTTGGACCGTTTTTGATATGACATTTAGAGTTCAAGGAAGTGTTCTTTAAAGTTCAAGGGCATGTCCTTGAACTTTAAAAACAGGAATTTGGGATGATGTGAATTTACTGTGAAATTTTTAAATTACTCTGATAAACATGAAGAGAAAATTATGCATACAGACTGAAATTGTCTACACATAGTTACAGAGAAAGTACAACATTTTAATTTAACCATCAATAAACTGGTTTAAGTTTGACTGAAAATGTAACCTCACCAAAAGAAATTGAAGTCATTTCAATTTGTTCATTTTCATGTTGGAACAACCAGTTTTGTCTACCATGCTTAGTGCTCCTATGTGCAAAACATGAACACAGTCATTTTTTTTCCAACAGCACAATGATCCTAAATGCACATCGAATCAAAATTTACACTGGAGCCTGTTTCATATCATTTTAATCTGGTTTTTGGATTAGAAAAAATTCACAGTTTAAACTTGCACACCCAGATCATGTTTTTAAACTTAACTGTAGTTGTATGTTCTTAATATCCCACCCTGGAAAAAAATGCAGAGAAATCAGGGACTATGATGAGTATATGCAAACTTCTGACTGGAAATGAATGTCTTGCAAAAAATTTGTATGCAATGGAAATAGTATAATCTGTAGGAGGAAACAAAAATAGTGCTGACAGCCTCCTGGTGCCCAACTTTTAGATTTGGTTTTCAAATTCATTTAAATTAATGAAAACATTTTGCCTGAAAGCAAATAAACAATGGATTAAAAGCAGCAGTATTTATATTTTTACTTCCATCTATAATATCTGTTTTCTTTACAGACGTTGGATGATGAACCAGTCCCAGTTGGGAAAGAGTATCAGTGGCAGAATCGGCCCATCTCCGACTGGACCAATCAGCAGGTCTGTCACTGGCTAATGGGCATGAACATGGATCAGTACACATCTGAATTCACCGCAAAGGGAATCGATGGCCAGCAGCTGCTGCACTTAGACAGCGACAAACTGAAGGTAGAACAAATGCACTTTCAAAATATTCCAGTAAAACCAAGATACAGCATCACTTTAACTCTGGTCTCATAGTTGCTGCCCCCTTGTGGCCAAAGTAAAACTTCTCTGACTTATTGGAACAGAAAATTAGCTGACAGGATTAAACCTGCTGTAAATTAATGCAGGTAATAAATTTGTATAGTTTGTCTCAGTGTTGTGATTACATTTTTTTTTTCTTTTTCCCTAAGGCACTCGGTGTGACAAGTCAAAGTGACCGCTCCACTATTAAAAAGAAGCTGAAGGACATGCGGAAAGCCCAGGAGAAGCTGGAGAAACAGCGGGAGAAAAAAGAGAAAGAGGGCCGACGCAGTGGGAGGCTGCCGGTCCAGGGCGACTCCATCTGCTGATCAGAGTCTTTCCTTGACTTTCGTCCCTGTTCAGAAAAAAAAAAAAAAAATTCTGTATTTCTGATTCCATGATGTTCCTTTCAGGAGATCACAGTGGTTAACACAGTTGGCTTAAATCATTTGGCCAGCTGTGAGGAGTTTTCTATCATTTTCTACCTGTGCAGCTTTTCTTCCTTGCAGTCCAGAGACATTCATAGTGTGAAGTTGTTCATTCGTTTTGAATGGACAACCGTCCTTTTGTGACTCTACAGGATATTTGGAGAGAGTCTGCCTAGCTTCTCATGCTGAGACCGTGATGTGCCAGAAACCCCTTGCAGGACCTGAGGTGGTGGTTTATATTCAGAATGTTTCTTTTATTATTGTTTTCTATCGGTTTCCATTAACGACAGCTAAAAACCATTTTAATTAAATGATGGGGTATGTCAAGTTTGGTAAGAGACCAAAACAGATATTCTAACACTTTTACCACTAAAAAAAAAAAAATCTTGAAACTATAATTATTGAGATCTGTTTCCAATTATATTGTACAGTCCAGATAAAAGCACTATCAATCTTTTAAGCTTCAAGGCAGCAAAGTTTTAAATGTATAAATGAGTTTTATACATGTGCCTGTTAACTGCATTTTTACTTAAATTCCTTATTTTATACTATCTACATTTTTCTACTAAGTAGAATAGCCAGACTTTTTTTTTTTTTCTTGTCAAAAAGGAAATGAAATGAGAACCTTATCACGTAGGGACCAGGTGAATGCTGCTGCTGACTCGGACTGTTTGGCTTGAAAGGTACCATGATGCTCTGTAAATACTCAAAGGATGAGCCTGTGGCGACGACTGGTGTGGATCCAGAGCCGTGTCACGTGTGAATGCAAGGCTGGACGATGAATGTTCTCCATGAAACCGAAGTGCTTCCTTTATTCTCAAGCCTAGTTCCATGTTTGTACAAAATATTAAATGTTGGACCAGAAGAAAACGATGTTTTCTGAACTCTCAGAGATGCTAATCTTGGTACATACAGCATAAATAAACTAATAATCACTTCTCATGGCTTCTATTGTGTTTGCTTGTCTTCGTTTCACACTTAAGTCACAGCTACATAGCGTACTACAAACGTTAGCTATCCCCAGTTAAAGCAACACGTATCCTCTTCAGGTGGCGAATGGTTTTGAGTTACCATGGAGATGTAAACTATAAATCTCATAGAAACGAATAGTGACAGGTTAAATGTGATCACATCTGGTGTAGGGCTGGGCAGCAAGTCAATTAGCAACATCTCAAAAGTGCGCTCCAATCCAGAACCGCACATAATTCTGGGGGATGTAGGCAGAGGAAAGGCTTAGCTGCTCAATCTCTGACGGCGGGTGGTATCAAGTCGCTCTTTCGTTACCTAGCAACAGACTTTCGGGTAACTTGCGCAGCAGCTGTTTGAGGTTTTCGCCACTGCGCCTCAGAATTGTTTAAAAATAAAAAGAGGTGGCATGAAGGGAGAAAATGATTGCTCAGAAAAGGCGGGAGTCACCATGGCAACATGAGCAGTAACGTAAATTTAAGATATTCTCTTCAAAATAAGAGAATTCTTAATACAACAGAGCAGGGCTTTAAAATAAAGACCAACGTAGGTTTCATATTTGATATGCTCAAAACGGTAACTAAAATCAAACTCTTTCAGATAAGTTATAACGTTGATGGTATGAAGAGCACTAACACCAGTGATGTGGATGAAATTGTTAATTTTTGAAAAATAAATCTCACACAATCTTCCACAAATGTTTCAACCTTTCCAAGATGCTTCAAATAAAAATCATTGTCGGGGTTCAATTATTAAATGGGTTAAGCTTTATAATTTCATTAAAGCAAAGGTTTAAAAGTGTTTTCAATTTCTTACATTCCTGCCCCCCTCTCCCCCCCCCCCTCCTTGAGAGTTTTAGCTTCTTTTATGATTTCCAGTTCAGTTCTCTGCCAAATGTTCAATCTTCCCTAATCTGAAACATTGTCTTAAATTCAAAATATGGCTTTTAGTTACATTTTTACAGAATCCCAACAATACCAGTTTAGCAGTTCAGCTGCTAACACGGCACCTACAATGTCATTTTAAATTTAGTGAAATAAATTTAGTTTTGTGCTCAGTTTTGCTGTAGTGAGTGTTACTTTACAACAAAACAGACTTTTAACAACAGTCATTTAAATAATTTATTCAAGCCTTTGTCCCAACAGAGCAGGATATATCATATTCTGAGAAACGCACAGAGACACTGAATGTCCTCAACAATCCGGCAACGTGGAGCGCTGCTGCACACCTCAACCGATATCTGAAGACTGAACCATCATCTCCCTCCCTCTACTCTGTTTGCATAGAGCTTTTAATACACAATATTCTGCTAAATCTTACAGATAAGTGCTTCTAGTGCAACATATAAACAGTGAACTAAAGCTAACACAAACAGGTCTCTACACTGCAGCGCATTAACTTATAGATGACATACGATCTCATTTGGAAGGTGCTGAATCTCGGTTGAAACAGATACTCCAAAATATTACAATAAAATCTCTAATGTAAATATTTTTAATACAGTTGTAACAGAGTCCTGTTGAATATTTTCATCAAAACAAAGGAAAAAAAGGTGCAGGTTTGTTTTAAAGCTTCTAACTATCCTCAAAAGAAAATATCTCAAAATCAAACAAAACTGTACAACAACCCAAAAAAAAAAAGCAGCTAATTTACATCAATGCCTCTTATTTGTTCCTCTTAAGACAAATTACCACATTTCAATAAGCACAGCTACAAGCTGAAACTACTGATGCCGTTTTGAAGCGAAAATAAATTCTTCTACCAAGCTGCTGTAAAATGATGCTCTTATTCTCAATGCAGCAGCTACACTTAAAAAAAACAACAACAAAAAACATATGACACCAATTCATTATTCAGTTGACAGGAGTGCGAGCTTGGAAACGAATCCAGAGCTGGTTGTGCTCAACTCTCCATGTTCCCCAGGAAACCAGGTCCTAATCACCACATCTGGTAAAATATATGGCACAAAACTTTCTTCCCATTATAATTTTTTTTTCTTTCTTTGAACAAATCACCACCGCAGTCATCAACAAGAAGCTTTTCTTTTTTTTTTTTTTTTTAAACACACTGCTCAAAGAAATTCACTCTCTGGGTTCAGAAACTGCGAAATGTGGTCAGGTCTTTGGGCTCCTTGCTGGGGACGCACCAGTCGTCGGCCTCGTGCATCGCCTTGTAGTGCTTCCAGGCCGACTTGTTGTACACCGGGAGCCTCTCGATCGACTCCGTGGACAGCGCCTGGAACAAGACCGAGAGGAAATTCTGCTATTTTCTTTTTCTTCCTCTCGTTCAGCCGAAGGAGCCTTTAAATGCTTGCGGCGAAACTCGGTTACCCGTATGTAGATCACTGCGTCCGTCCCATATCCCTCCAGAGAGTAGAGCTTCAGGTCTCCCTGAAAGTAGCGAGCGTACAGGCGAGAGATGGGCAGGCCGTAGCCGTAGCCAGCCTGTGGAAAAGCTTGGACGTAATTTATTTATTTTCAATATTTCTCAATTAAGGAGCTGTTTTCTTTAACCTCCAAAATTCAAATAAAATTTTGAATTTTATTAAAAAATTGTTTTTTACCCCTTTCTGTTTGGGGTAAACTTCCTCCTTATAAACTTAAATTTAATGTGGTGCAAATCAAATTTCTAAAAAGGCTTTGTGCGTTTCCACCGTTCACACTGACCAGAGGAGCGGCTCGGGAGCCGTCGATGCTGGGCCGCGGAGCTGTGGAGTACGTGTAGGTGAACAGCCGGTCGATCTTACGCAGAGGCACGCCACCTCCACGGTCGCTCACCTGATCAAAAAAACCACTGATTAATCCGACGAATGTGCAAACCTAAGTTTGAAGCTTTGCTTGTAAAGATTAAACCGGACTGGAGTTCAGTTTCCATTTTACCTTGACAGTGAGATCCTCAGAGCCAAGGGCAACCTGTGCATGAACGGGAGGATACTCCATCGCGTCGCCGTATAACTCCATCGTGGCCCGCATGGCGTTCTGCAACGAGCGTGACAGAAAGTTTTGACAACGGCACACCATGATTTAGAAACTGAGAAACCAGAACAAGAGCAAAAAACAAAAAAAAAAAAAAAAAAAAAAAAAA